TTCCACCAAGGGCAACCTGATAGAAATAACATTTAGTTGGCATAAATACAGATCCTGAATACCAGGTATTCCACATTGGTCTCAATACATTGAGCTGCAATTATTGATTGCAGTCCAAGGAGAGCCTGGGAAAGGATCAGATTTCCGCTCCGAGGATCAATCTTTTGTGTGTGTGCACAGACACTGACATTTTTGGCCACATACAGTTTTAAGATTTGCTATAGTTTTAAAAGCTATGGAATAAACAATACAGGTAAGAGGTTGAGCTCTGAATGTAAAGCCACTGATAACATGGAGATAACAGTAAGCTCCAAAAAAGCCATAACAGATGTAAACTATCATCTCCTTGGTTTTTGCAAGAAGATGATGATTTCACACAATGAAAAACTGAGCAATGTTTTTTTGGTGTTCAGTTCACTTTTATTGCTTTTGTTTGTCCTTAGCAGTTTTTAGTCTCTTTTCTTATTCTTTTTTATTTTTTTTTAAAGGTGCTGTCCCTAGTCAAGTTATAAGGCAACATATTTTATTGATTCAGAAGTTTAAAACATTGTATGGCCACTGTTAGCCCTGCAGTTTGCAGCCACTGCAGGTTGGACAAGAGTCAGAAGTGCATTGCAATGCACAACAGAGCCAGCCTCCCGACCCACCTACAACGCACAGGACACTTTGGTTCTCAGGATGAGAGATTACAAATGTAGCTTGGATGCTGCCTCACACAGTTTGCATAATAAAACATTTATCYGCTACCATGAAGAGGGGGTAAAGTCAAAGTCCCGCTGCTGCAGACTGGCTGTTCYAGGCTCCTCCGTTTGGGCAGGTGTGAGAGACAAGTTGTGGATATGCCACCAGGGAAAGCATATACATGTATCTGGTGCAAACCGTGTACGAGAGTATTAAAGAGTATTATAAATGATTCAACAAGGGAGAGCAAGAAAGAGAGAGCTAAAGTGCAATTTTAAAATAATATAAATAATTGAAACGTAGAAATAAGATACTAATTAGTTGTAACTGGTTTTGTTTATAGGCACAGTTTATTTTCATGTCTACGGATCTTTTTTTTTTTTTTTCCCCTTGATCCCCCTCCAGTAATTTTATCATCTGCTGCATAATGGAGTTTCAATGGTCTACGTCTAAGGAACGCTGCTTAGCAAAAGCACAGAAGAGGCGATGATAAGGCAGTATAGTGCAACTCACTATGTGGTATTAGAAAAGAATCAAGAATGGGGTTAGATCTTCCATGGTGATGTATATAATCAGTCTCAAAAAAAAATAAGGAGAAATAAAAAGACAGACTTTCCAGTTATATGTTGACCTGTGCTTTCTGAAACGAGAGAGCACATTTTCCAATGGAAAGGAAACAGCTGAAGGTTCATCATTTGTTTTGTTGCTACCAAATAAAAAAAAAAAAACTTAAAGAAAATAAAAGCAGATGCTGCTTTAAGGAAAACATTTAATTCTAGGAATTTCTGTACAACTGACCTCAGCAAACTTTTCCATCTTAGATGGATGGCTTCTGCTTGAGACCCTGAAAGATTAAGATGCACACACACCTAGAGAGGTTTATTGCAAAACTAATATTGTAACTTAGAAAACAAACAAACAGATTCTGTACAAGAATACTGTTCAAATGGAATGTGTTAAAATAACATTTATTAATAAATACTTTATAAAATTCTATGTGAATACTAAATTAATAGATTCCTGTTTTAAAATTGCTTTGGTCCTCATGAATTTTCATAAATTCACTCTATACGCTTTTTTTTTAAAAAAAGGTATTAGCTGCTAAAAAGCACATTTTACCTAAACTAAAAGGCTAGTTTTAGACACTAAATATCGTTGCTTAAAAAAATATGAATCCTCAAAAGTTGGGCATTTAACAACAGTTATAGCTGGCTGGTTAGTTCACGGGACAGAGTCAGTTAACGCACGAAATCCACACATACTGAGGCACTGAACCATTGACTTTCCACTATTCAGGACACGGGCAGCATACGTTCAGTTTCGGGGCGGGAATTAACTCGGGACAGCATGAAATCCTCCAGAAATCCCCATGGTCGTCCTTAGGGAACACACGGCGCTGGCGCACGAGGCGCCAGTCTCCCAGGGGCAGCGCTGGGAATATGGCTTGGCCTACGTGGGCCCCGGGGAAGGGGCTGGGGAAGAAGGGCTGGATGGCAGCGGATCCTTCGCCATGGGGGTGCTGTAGTTGTCCGTGGCGGAGCCGGGCGTCCGACGTGGTGCMACGCGACGTGGTGTCCACAAAAATTCCCGTAACGCTGGGAGCTTCCTGCCTGGGAGTGTGGTGAAGGAGGCCAGGGAGGGAGGCCGTCCRAGCAGGCCCGGCGAGCGCCGCGATGGACTCGGCGGGAAAGGCGGCAGGAGAACGTGTCAGTGTCCAGGAGCAGCCTGTGGAAAAGCGGGATTTCCCCGCGAGGGCAGGGTGAGCGCGCTTCCCATGACGTGTTGGACAGAGGCCCTTCCGGCGGGCACGGAGGCTCCGGCAACGCAAGGACCAGTCCTCCACAACCCGAGCGCGTTTCCGCAGGGAAGCGTGAAGCTGATGGATAACGTAAGGTGCCTGACACGGCTGCTCCTTTTCCCGGGAGAGCTCATGTAGATGCGCTGCGTGGTGTCCCGGCCCGTGGACCTGCGGCACAGTTGCAAGCAGCAAGAGCGGGCGGCTTGTCGTCCCTTACTGATTTCCACCCCACTGGCGAAGACTGAACCTAAAGGCCAATCGCACAGACAGGAGACGGCTCCTTGCAATCACACATTTAGGCCAACATGTGTGGTTGGCTTGCCTAGTTAGCATTAAAAAAAGGAATAATTGAGCTATATATAATACACATCAGTCAAACTGTCAAGTTGCTGAATTTAACAAAACTTAGGCAAGGTTTTTGTTTTTTTTTTTTTTTTTTGCTTTTCTCTTTTTCTTTTTAATGTAGAGGCTTTCAGTTTAACAGCTAAATATTTTAATTGAGGAGACTGAATAAAAATGAAGCTAGACCTTAATTCTAGTGCAGTGTAGCTCAACTGGGTAATCTAACATTACCAACAATTTTGATCTTTATTTTTAAACGCATTTAAGTGCTACCCATACAGAAGGAAAGGTTTTTTTTTTTCTTTTTAAATTAACCCTAAGATGATTTTACTTTTCATGGTGAATGACGAAATTCAGACACATGGGAAATGCTTTTTTGTTTTTACATAGTGGCCACTCAGCTGGAACATTTTGCTCAACTGCAAGTTKGAAAAAAGTTCCCTTGGGAGCCACGGTGAAGCAAAACCATTTAGCGATTACAACTGGAGGTTAAAAAAAATTATAGATTCAGCATTTAAAAGATTTTAAAAGTATATGCTTGTCTAAAATATAATAGAAAATCCTTTACATTTGTATTTTTTCATAATTTTTTTTTTGGTTCTTAGACTATATAATCAAGATTTACACTGTACATTAAAAACCTTTCTTTTGACTGCATTTGCACAAACGGAAAGAGAACTGTTAAAGAAGGTGGATAAGAAGCTGGTTACTGAGATGAGCACTACTTGGGAGATGAATGATCCCCGGAATTTCGCTTTTCCTTCCCAAGGGCCCCGCTCATTACAGCACCTCACGCTTCATTTGTCTAACTCTGCCTGCCTGCCCCGAGAGGAGTCACCCTTTTAAAGCCACTGCTCCCCTCACGCCAAAGAAACTGCCTTTGAGAACAAGAACTCTGCTTCAGAACAAAGTATGCCCAGGACTGGAGTATTTGCCAGGAATTACATTAATTAGCTTTTGTTATTAAAAACGCAGCTCAGAACGTTTGAGCGTTCAGCACCAGCTCAGAGCCTGATCCTGCTCCCATGGGAACCAGTTTGGCCCCTGATGGGCTCCAGAGCAAAACCAGGTCTCGCTGCGCTGGAAGGGGCCGTAATTAACTGGCATCTTCCTCATCGGATTTTCCCATCGCTCACGGTGCGGCTCGGGGATGCAAATCAGCAGTGCCGAGGGGCTGGCACGGAGTGCAAACAAAAGCCTCAGCCCTGAGCGCATGGTAGCTGTTCCCGGAGTACCTGTGGCCGTTCCCAAAGTAGCTGCTTCCTTGCGGCCAGGGAAGCTCCACCGGGGCCGTCAGCTACACATCCAGCCACGTGTGTCTCAAGGAAAGCTCAGCACGTCCGCCCCTGCTCGTTAAAAACGGCATTTTCCCAACTGCTCAGAAGGGTTACGCTGATTTGTTTCTCATTTATAGCCCGTGAAATCTGAGGCTGTTAGCATTTGCCGATAAAACAATGTAACAAGGTTAAGGGACAGATTTTTCTTTTTTTTTCTCCGCCTGAATTATTATATACTACATGGATTTTCTACGTCAATGACTGGCAGTGCAAAAAAAAAGCTGGCTGCAGTTCTCAGGTGTTATTTGCTGTGCCTGTACTGTGCCACAGACATTTACCTCACGAGCCTGCATGGCTGCTAGCATCAACACAGCTGGCTCTCAATCGTGCTTCACCTGTGGCTACACTGCTTTCGCCTCTCACTGTTTATTAAAAGCACTAAATCAGCAGCATTTCTATTTCTTAAAACACAACTGCTCAACAGTGAGGCCAGCTGTGGGTGAAAAGCTAGTGAAAGCTGCAGCTGTGCCAACAGGTTTAGGTGGGCTTGAAGTCTTTGCTGCTTCACCGCTGTTCTTAGGAAGGGGGTAAAAAAGAGAAGTGGGAAAGTCTTGGAATAAAAAAAAAGCAGAAAGAAGCTCGGAGGAGAAAAGGGTAGATAGTGTGGAAAGGGAAAAGGAACATGGAACAATGACTGAGGGATAAAAAGGACAGGGAGGACAGAGAGCCCAAGGAGGAAAGCTAGACAGAAGAGCACACTGTTTGGGGGGTTGTTCTGATCGCCGCACACTATGTGACCGCTTGGAAATAGGCTCTGAATACAAGATGGGGTTCTGGTGATAGCACAACGCTAACTCATTTTTTATTATGCTGTCAGCAGATGCCCTCTCTATATATTTATAGCCTAATTAATCCTAGTTACCTACGTATGACTCTGTTTAATACTTCTCATGCCTCATGTCAGCAAACAGGCTGCAGTTTAACACAGCTCCGTATTTCTGAGGCTTCAGGCTAGACTGGTGAGAAGGAAACATGACTATGTACAGGAACAGTTAGGCTTATAAACAAGTAACTGGTACCAAAAAACTGGAGAAAGCACCAAAGCATTTCTCAAGCTGATAGCATATTAATTGCATAACTCCCTTTTATGTAACTATGTATAAAAGACATTTTAATAACTATAAAAATGAAAGCCAGAGTCTTTCAAGGACTGAGGAATCTTCCAGGCTTGAGTTACTGTCGCCAGCGTCCTTAGCACGGAGGACGCCTTGATACGCTACCACACTCCCAGAGCAGTTCCTGATCAGCCAGTCTTAAAGGATTGGGTTGATGTCTGTTCTGTGGCTGGCGAGCTGGGTGAGGGTGGAGCTGCCCACGACGTCGCTGACCGAGGACGAAGTCGTGATGGTGTTGTGCTGGATGACCTGCTGCTGGGAGCAAGCCGGGACAGGGCTCGCAGGAGGGCTGCTCTCAGGACCTAGGAAGGCGGCGAGGGGGAAAAGACAACATGCATTAAGTTATCCTGCAGGGGAGGGATTCCTGAACTACCACACGTGCAAAACCTAGCCCCCAGCTGGGTTAGAGGACTGGCAGAGGGAGGCACCGCTAAGGCAGCAATGCTGACAACTTGAGGGACGAGGATGCCCTGGGATTTCAAACTGCAGAGTTATCAAACACTTCCTGTCTTCTGATTTGGGGGTTTTTCTTTTTCTTAAAATCAACTGCTCTGATATTAATCTGACTTCAGGAGCTGGGACCTTGAAAGGAGTCTAATATCTTACAGTATATGAAACCAATGTGGGGATGCTTTAATGCTTTATTTGCTGCAGCAGTAATCTAAATTGCAGCGCAGTATACTGCAGCACAGAAAATTTAATTCAAGCAACAGTTGATAGGCATGTAATGTAATTATATATTTTTCCTTTGAGGTCCGTTAAAGAGCCAGATGCATAGTGATGCAGAGGAAATAGAAATGGGCTCTATTTTAAGAGAACGCCTCAATCTAGCAAAGATTCGCCCAGCCCTGCGGCTCTTCTGAGCTGTTCTAGAGCCAAGCAAAGGATCTGTCCCTAAATTACCATACTTGCAAAACGCATCAACTAGACAGAATCAATTCAATGTCTCCATTAAATCTGCTTTTTTTTTTTAATGAAAGATAAGAGTTAAAAAAGAACAAACCTGGAAAACCTGCGCCACGTCCGAGTCAGAGCACAGTACCATTTTCCTTGGAGGGAACTGTAAGGCTTTCCTTTTTAACTTTCCTTTCGAGAGTTATTTTAATGTACTGGCAGCACTGTACCCGGGAGCACTCTCGCAGGTTTGGAGTCTGAGTTCAACGGGGTTCCTCACATGGGAGCAAGCGTCCATCCACGTGCATGTCCTTGCAGAATGGAGGGGTGGGCAAGGCTAGCTGGGCTTGGGTTGAGGCCAACCATGGCTTTTGTTTTTTTGAGCGGGGCTGGTTAAATAAGGGCAGGAGGGTGGACGGCTCGGATGATGTTTGAGAAGGCAGGTTCAAGTGAAAATATGGACAACAAGGGGTTCTGGAGGGAAGAATTGGAAACTCTGTTGTTGTTGTGAATAGTGTGGAGTCAATGCAAACATACCAGCTACTTACTTAGATATCCTTGTGATTCTTTCTGCATAGCTGTTATCGGACAGTCTTTATGTGTTAACAATAACTGTTTCAGCTGTGCTACCTCATTTTTCAGCATGGAAACCTCATTCTGGAAAAGAAATAGAGAGTTTAGTTTGCCACAAAATTGAAAATACTCCATTCCTCGAAGTTTCATCTAAGAACACAGAAACTACACTACAAAAGTCTACTAATACACAACTGTAAAAGACACTGTCCTACTTGGTGCTATAGTGTTGAGTTTGTGGTGACCTCTGTGCACGACATTCTTTTAGAACTGTCCTTACGAAGGCAATTTGGCTTCTGTATTTCATGGCAAAAACTGCCATGTGAACCAACCGTTTGCTGCCATCATCAAAGAGACTTTAGTCAGGACTTTAATTTGGGAAATACTCTGGCGTTCTGCATGAGCGCCGGTCGCCAAACCCTTGGGGGCAAAGCGCAGCCTGGAGAGCTGGCTCAGCAGCGCCAGCTGAGGGAAACGGTGCCTCTCGACCAGCCCTGAGTGCTGAGCATGCTGTAAAAATGGCACCATTGCTGCTGCCTGGGCTTTTATTATCACATATGGGCCATTCACATCTCTCTGCCCCTCTTCAGGGGGCAAACCCACTCCCATTCGGTTTATACTCCTTTTCATGCTTTAGTCTACATTGGCTTTGAATTAGGATTGAGCTACAGACCCTGTTCTGATGAGGACTTTTAGAGCAAAGTTAATGACACTTCCAAGAAAAAAAAGACAAGAAAAATAAATAAATCCAGCTCAGTCCAGCCCAGGCTTCTAAGTCCCAGGGCAGTTTTTCTCCGGGCTTACCCTGCTAGAATTAAACTGCTTGTTTCACTGCCCCCCATATGTCCCGACGGCTGCGATGGCCGTGTGGCTGTGGCGCCGATGGGCAAAACGGCGCGTGGCGGGCACGGAGCGCCTCCGTGTCCCACGGGACGCAGCCCGGGCGCCCACCTGGAGCTGCATGTTTGTCTGGGTGAGTTCTTCTGCTTTCTTCTCCAGGGACATCACCCAGACCTTCCTCTTCTGGCGGCAGCGCGTGGCGGCAGCGCGGTTCCTCTCCAGAAACTTCCGCCTCCGCTCGTCGGGGTCCTCGTCCACCACCCTCCGCCGGCGGCCGCCCGTGGGCTGCGGCGGCTGTATCGTCTGCGTGGGCTGCATCTGCTGGGCTGCTGGCGAGACCTGTGGCGGCGGGAACGCCAAGGGAGCGTCAGGGAGGCCGCCCACGCGGTGGGGACGCGTCACGCGGGGGCCGCGGACCCTCCGGCAGCGCCTGAGGAGGGCACGAGTTGAAAGGCGCCACCAGCTGCCACCTCCATGAGCTGCTGGCAGAGAGCTGCCCCGGGCAAAGGGGACGTTCCTTGAAGTGATGCTCTGGATATGAGCAGGGAAAATATTTTTCCCCTTGCGGCTATTAAAAGTATTCCGGCTAGGCACTTTCTCTGCCACCCCTTATTTCAAACCTGAAATGTCAAGTTTCTCACAGCAACGCTTTTAATCATGGCAGAAGACTGTAGGCACATTCTTCCTTTTTTTTTTATTAATTGCTTCCAAAGTTTTAGGATATTTCTATCTATCCCCATTTTCAGGCTTTACAACCACTGGAGCTGTAAGCTCCAATGCCCACACTGTTACCACAGACCCTGGAAATCATGGGCTGGGCTCAGGAAAGGCAGGAAGACTCCCCCATTGAAAGCCTACAGATCCTGGTGCTCACGAGATTTTACTGAATCTGAATTGATGAATTTAGACTTGACAAAGAAGTATAAGGACACTTAATGCCAGCCTTGGGGTTAACCTGAAGGTTTCTCAGCACTTCATGGGGACAGCACATCAACCCCTCTCCCTAACAGCCCTAACACCCAGTGTTTGTGGGGCAGCAGCCTGAGGACATCCCGCTCTTGGTTCCTCCAGGCACCTTGTCCCAGTGGGCCTCTGGCCTGGATGGCTTCCACATCCCGGGCCTCCGGCCGGGCACTGCTCACACGGGAGCTGCAGCTCCAACACGGGCTGGAACCATCTGGAAACTTCCAGCGTTGACTCCAAAGGAACCCCGGTGCCCTGGCAAAGGCCCAAGCCTCCAAGGTGCTTTTCCTTTTGACTCCAGGGAGTGGACGTACTCGGCGCTGTGTCAGGCCGAGCCCTGAGTTTCAATCCCGGCAATTACCGTGCGCTTGCCTAACACATCAGCCCGTCTCAATTAAGCCGATACCATCGTCTTGCAAGGTGGCTTTTCTGTCTCGAAGGGCGCTGCAGACGGCGGGGAGGAGTCTGCTCCCTCGCCCGGCTCGCTGCAGTCTAGCACAGCGGCAATTACAGCGTGCAGCTCCTAAGGCCTTTTGTAGGGAGCCAAGTTTGCTCCCAGCTTAGGTGCTATAGTCCCAGGCTGTTTCTCGCGCAAACAGAGAAAAATGTTTAAAAAATGGACTTTTTTTCCCTCCCTCTTTCCTTCCCCTCATAGAGTCATTTTCTCCTGAATAAAAAGTGAATCATTTTGTTTTCAGAATGTACCAGTCAGGGTTTGGGCACTCACAGGGTATTTGCAGAACGTCTTCCCTCTTTCTCTGGCAGAATAAAGGCTACTATTGCATAATTAATAATGTCACGGGGAATAATTAACTTACTGAAGTTACTACACAACACTGAACCATGAAATCTGTTGGGCTGTATCTTGATAACTGTCTAAGCATCATTCTCTAGCAAGATTTCCCAGCCCTGCCTTTGTAAGTACATGCTCTGATAAAAAAAATGTTTATTAAAAACATGGTTAATTTGCTTTCATAGGATGCTTATCGCATATCCATAATGAACAAAAATGTAGGAGAGCTGGCAGAAGGAAACAACAGTCAAATCCCTACTCTGCTTAAGCTATCACTCAGGCAGGTTTGATATGCAGAAATGAAAATGTGACAAACACAGCAATACTAGTATCATTTTTGTTGCAGTTAAGGCAACACAGCTACAATCCAGTAAAACTTCTGTCTCAAAAAGATATGTATTAAAAAGTGATTTCTCCTTTGATCCTTGATCCAATACTTTTCTCTGTTCTTTGCAATGCTAACTACAAAATTAATTCCCATTCATTCATTCATTCATTCATTCATCTTAGCAAAACATCATTCATTAGGCTCATGTGTATCAAAATGATAGCTGAAAAGCATGAAATGAATTCTGACATTACAGAAGGGTGTATAGAATAACAAAAGTTACAGCATGGGAGCACACAGCTCATAGCACTGTGGATCATGCTGTCACTTGGCAGGTGGCTTGGAAATGAGGAATCTGGCTCAGAAGAATAAGGAGGCTAATAATTAGTAAAATGCACCATAAAATTAATGTCTGCTGAAGCAACCTGACCCCCAAAGAGGCCAATAGTATGGGGACTAGTTTTGGCCTTAAAAAGTAAAAACTATGTGTGTATTATTCATCAAACCCTTCTTTTCTCCCCATTAGGGCATCATTCCAGAAACCCCGATGATCTCTGCATGATGGGAGCAGACAGGCAGCAAGAGCCCTGCTGCTGCCCGGGAAAGCAGCGGACCCCAGGAACCCTGCCCAGACTCATCTCCCGTTACCCGCCAGTCCCGGCCTCCCGGTGACACTTACACCCTACCCCCCCTGTCAAGATGAAGACCTTCCCGATGCCTGGAAAGGCCCATCGCCTCCAGGGACACCGCAAAGCTCATGTTACCCTGTGGGCCTGGCTCCAAGGACTGCGTGACGCAGGGATTCGCACAGAATCTGATGCAGTTTGGGGGCTGCCCAGCCCATCTGCCTGTCTCGGTGCCCAAATTTCTTGCTGGCTGCTTGCAAATCTTTAGAAGTGCCTAGGAAATACCAAGCATGGCAACTTCAGGCTCTCCTAACCGGCATGGCTAAGATGGGCTTCAGCTGCACAGGAGCTGCAGGAAAAAGGCAGCTGTCGCTACATAACTCACTGGTCTCACTGGCTGCCGTGCTCTCTCCTCACCTGGAAAAGGTTATAATACAGAAGTGTGGCTGTGCTGCCCAATACTGTGGCATCTGACTGCCTCACATGCATTCATGTGTTTATTCTCCCAACCCCTTGGTGTCAAAACTATGACCCCCATTTTAAAAGCCTCAAGGAGGATAAGTGACTTCCTCCGTGACATGCATGGAGTCTCTGATCTGCTAAGCACCAGCTTCATCTTTATCTCTCACAGATCTCCGAGACAGCCATCAGGTTGCTTTAGCTTTCTCTGCTATGAGATAATGCCTTTTTATTGGAGTTTTTAAACAACTCCAAGGAAAATAACTCATTAACAGATGAGAAAATAATTGAATTCTCAAAGTAAAAACTGAGCTAAACTTATGAAAGCTTTGGGCATCTTCTCACAGGGGAGTCTGCTAGTCTCTTATTTAGACTGCTTCTCTAAAGCTGACAATTCATTTTACATTAGCAAATGCTTCAGGGAAATCCCATGTGCTTGCAACCCCTGCAATAATAAACCTAGATGTTAGTAAATAGTTAATGTTGTGGGACACTGGGATGTCAGCCAAATCCTCTCATTTTCTTTAATGTTTTCTAAGAGCTTGTCTGAAAGGTATTTGCAAGTAACACAATACTTCACAAATTGAACTTCTTATGTTTGGCACTTCTCTTTGTCCTCCTTCTGTGCTCTATGCATTTCTCCTTAAATTTGCTGCCTGCATCTGATATGTTGTAGTCACTGGTCTTGCCTTTCTTTTTCTCCTGCAGTCTCACTGGTGCATGGGCCTAGCACCTTAAGACAGATTTCTTCTTAAAAATGACTCTGCTAAAATCTGGCTTGTTAGTTAAGTTGTTCAAGGAACATTTTTTAAAACTTTATGCTTTAAATACGGGATCATCCAAATTGAGGAAATCGTTGTTTCCGGTCAGAAATTGAGATCTTCATCTGACATTACCTCCATTGAATTCTCATTGTCTGAATCCAAGCGCTCTTCCTGGTTGAAAAGTCTCTCCATGGACTGGCTTCATCTCCTTCATTTTCTGACACAGTATCAAACAACTATAACCTTCACTCTCCCCTAATCTTGGCCTCTCTTACCCTGCACACCCCGGGGCTACCCTCCCATCTGCAAAGTTTCAGATTTTTCTCTTTTGCTCTAACTAGTCCATCTTACCTTAAAATTATCCCTAGGCTTGATGGACGTGGCTAGGTACATGAGTTCTGTGAGACACCTATTCAGACACACACCCACAGACACACAAATCCACGTCTTCCTTGGAGGATGTGTATGCAATATTGCTTTGCCTCAGGACAGACCGTGGTCTGTGTTTCTGAAGTTCAAGCACGTACAGCACTTTAAACCTTGGCCTGAGAAGTTTAGGTTCAGGCCTACTAAGCAGCATGTATAATATGCCAGTCTCCTTAATATGCCCCTTCCATAAACGGATACGTGGCAATGTGCAGGCACCAGAGCACAGAAAGACCTCGGAGCTTCTTATTGAGATATTACAAACGCCTAGCAAATTAAGCAACAGAGCAAGCTGTTGCTTCGCTGTTTTATGAATAAACCGTGCGCCTCTCAGCCACCAGACATCTGGGAGCAGACCGAGGGCCTTGCTAACCAGACCGAGGTGCCAGGCGAAACGCCAGGGGCCCCCGAGCCGCCCCGTACCTGTGCTTGGGCGCCCGAGTGCAGCGGCGGGTGCGGCGAGCCCTGGTGGTGCGGCGGGTGCGCGTGCAGGTGCGAGTGGTGGTGCGGGTGGCTCTGCTGGTGGTGGGGCTGCGCGTGGCCGTGGTGCGGCGGCGGCGGCGGCGGGTGCGCGTGCGGGTACGAGTGGTGCGGAGGCAGCGGCGGGTGCGCGTGCGCGTGCGAGTGCAGGTGGTGGTGCGGCGTCTGCTCCTGCCGCGAGTTCATCATCTCCATCATGTGGCCCATGGTGCTCATGTTGCCGTTGGGCATGGCCCCGGGGTGGTGGCTGAGCGCCGCCTTCAGCCTCTGCAACACCCAGGAGAGAGGACAGAAGCTAACGTTAGTACCCACAGGCATCTTGCTTCACTCGGAAGAAGAACGTAGTCCTCTGGTCTAGTTTTGTCACTAAGAATGTAAAGAGGTAAACGTCTGAATTGAAAATCAACAGTTCAACATTTCCTACTGGGCTTCGGGGGAAAAATAACTGGCTCTTGTCCTTCTCCGTAGGGCCACATCAGTAGCTCTGATTCCATACAAACTTGTACACTTTCAATTTTAGAAAAGAACATTTAATTAAAATAAAAGGGGGACATAGTCTGATGCAGAATTACCCTCTTCTATTACCAACATTATTTAAAGGGCTCAGCGATAACACATTGCATTGACATGGGCTTTTTTTAAAATAATTCAAAGCACTGAAATACTTTTACTGTTGTATTAGCAAACAAGATTTATCTTTTCACCAGTAAGATATAGAGGTAATGAGGGCGGTCTCAACCTGAAACCTTTTACTTTGCTGGAAAGGTCAAGTGCCCACTGTGTTTTTGCTGTGTGCTAATTCCTCCCTCTGTTCTCCTCCTGTTTTTATTGTCACTGCATTGGGTCCTGCAGTCCCCACTTGAGCAAAACTCTCCCTGCTATCAATGAGATCCTTCGGCTCTCCCCAGCAAAACAGCTACAAAAGAGGATGAAGGGGAAGGGCTGCTAGTTTTCACATGGCAGGATATGGCCCTTGTGTATTAATTTGTCAGCTGAAATATATATAAAGAAAGTTTCCTTTCCAGCACAATTGCAGGCTCACCCCAGAGCTGTAAGCTGCACTGGAATACAGCAACTGTGTCAATGCAGTCCTTGAATAAGACATTTTAAAAAGAAAGGAGAGAAAAGATGCTTTTCTAAGCATGCCAGTGCCTCGATTTTCCTTCAAGAAACTTAAGAGTAGTGATTTTGGGAAGTTTCCTTACAGAAAGCCAGAAAAAATCTTATCACAGTTTTGCACGGGTCACAAACTGACAGGCACCTCAGAAAAGGCTCAAGGCAACCACAGCAGCAAGGTGAAATCCCTCCCCCGCTCCTGCTCGGTACTCACCTCTAAAGCCAGAACTGAGCTCAGCTTAATACTGATGGCAATGACCTACCCGGGGTTTAAAACGGAGGACTTGAGCAGCTGCCATCCCTAACAGGTCTGAATTCAAGTGCCACCCTGGTTATTGCCAGCAGCGCTCCATAATGCTCAAAATAAGCAGCGTTACCCAGGAGTGCACTGGGAAAAACAGGGGAAAAGCCACAGGAATAAGATAAAGTCATTCTGCTTATTCAAAGCTCACTAAGATCTTTTTCATGGGGCCACTACGCAGTTCTAAGCCAAAGCACCAACAAAAGCTGCCCTAATTGTGTTTTCTGAATCAAAATGCAAAAAAAACCCCACTAAATTCTCCTCAGCCAGCACTTTTATAAATGAGGAATCCCTAGGAAAATCTCCTGATGCTGTATTTGTCCAAAAGATTTTGAAACTGAGCTACAGAATGCCTTCTTCTAAACTGCATACTTTCAAAGCTAGAAAAAAAAAAAAAAAGGAGGGAAAAACTTAATGTGTGAATAAACATTTTTTTTTCCAGCTGTAAAAACTGTGCCTTATTAGTGCGGCGCGACTTCAAGGGGAATAAATTATTTTGTTTTCTTTCCATAGTCCCTTCTACCACATCCATTTATTCGAGATAGCAAACCACGAGCGACAGCGAGAGGCCTGCCATGCAGCTGGTTTCAGTCGACAGGGGTCACTTCCCTTGGGCCTGGGTGCTTTACAAGCTCCTTGTTCGCTGCTCCCACCGGGAAGGTGGGCCGGCTGCCCTGGATGCGAGTGCTGGTAGGAAACCAGCCCTCTAGCTCATCGGGTCCCAGCGCGGCAGCGAGGAGCGCCCGGCCCTCGCTTCAGCTTCATGCTTAGCTCAGCGAGCTAAGGCACCCAGGGCCACGTTCCTCCTTCCTTAACGAGTCCCTGCTGCCAGGCAGGAACATTTGGGGAGCTGGGAACATTTTCTTTTCGTCTGGTCTTCTGCAGAGATCAATTGTTTTGATGTTTGAGTTAGAGCGCGGGGGGAAGCGACGCGGCAGAGCCTGGTGAGCCCTCTGCGCTGTCCTTGTGCAGAGCTGCAAGGGAAGGCTGCGATTTTGTTGTTCTTTCTATGTGTGCTAATTGCAAACAGCTGCTTCATTGGAGTGTCAAATAAAACATGATGGCATCAGAATTGAGCTTTCTGGAGTGAGTTCATTAGCAGAGCAACTCTAGCATGAAATTATGGAAAAGGCCCCGATCCGGAGGCCGTGCTGGTTTCCAGCAACGACACGGCTGGCTTCCCCAGGAGCTGCGGTTACTTCACAGTTCTCAAAACAGGGCTAAGGCGGACGACCGCTCAGATCTGCCCTCACCAAACATCAACATTTCTGCTCGCTTCAGTGACAGGCCCTGCTTGTCACAGCACAGTTTCCAAGAACGCCCCGGCGCCACTCAACGGGAAAGGCAGGCACTCCGCTCTCCTGCCTTTCGGCTCTTTTATTTTTCCTGCTTGATCAAACTGACGTACAGACCAACACGGTTATAACTGATTTCCACTTGATCACAGCATCTGCATGAACGGCTTTCCCTGACCCCAGCAACACCGGGAGTTATTGCACTGAACACCGTCTGCTTTGCCTCCGACCGAGGGAATAAGGGAAACCCGCTCCCGCAGGAAGCCACAAGCCCAAGAGCTGTCGTGTTCGGTGGCTCGGAGGAATCACAGGGATAGACAGCAGTGCTCCAAAGGCACCAGGATGGCATTCCCTGTGTGATTGCTCCTGATAATGCGCTGACTATCACGGCTGTTCCGAAGCCATCCCACTGAATGCCACATGAGGACAACCCCGCTAACAAGCTATTATTGTACCTGCATTCTTGTTTTCTGGAAGCAGGCAGTTTTCACAGTCTTTTCTCTGTCTAAGGCCTGACATCATGGTGTAGTGAACTGCTTAATGTGTTTTTTTTTTCACATCAGCCTAGACCATAATTTATTCTTTGAGTTTCTTTGGGAAACTCTGCCAGAAATGAGCTGTAAGCATCTGAGATCAGGAGTGAAAAGAAGATCGGTTCCCTGCACACCTGCGCAGTCTGTGTGCGGGAGCTTGCTGTTTTGCCATTCTTCCTCCATCGTGAGACCTAATTCAAGAGGGTTACCTTGAATTTTTTTCCCCTTTATTTCTCAAAAATTGCTAATGAAAAATAGCCACATTTTTTCATTTTGTCAGAAGAAAAAACAAGACAAGTAAGTTTGTCATTTTAGAGTTCGCTTTTCCCAGCACAAAAAAAACTAATCATTTTTTATTAAAACTATATGTATATAATATATATATTTACCATATATATCATACACACACACATGTATATGCCATAATATATGCATTAAAACAAACTATCATTTTATCCTATTTTTTCCCTAGTGGAAAAATGAAAAATCTCCCCTAAATGTACATATGTTATGTCATATGAATGGTCTGTCATTGTATCAAACCGCAAGTTATTCTATTATTATTATTATTATATTATTGTTTTAAGTCGGGACAGCCATGCAGTCCTGGGGTTGGAAAGGATTGCGTTGCTCTGAATAAACCTGAATTGCAGCCCTTGAAAAATCTCCCTTCCCCTCCTGGCCTACATGCCCAAACCCCACTAAAGGAGAGAAGAGACAAGACCAGCTCAATGTCTGGTACATTCTTATCTGGGGATTATATCGGGCCTTTGCAGGCGGATGGAATATGATCTCAAAGATACTTCCCTGCTCTAGTGATGTGATCCTAGTCCCTGTTATACTGGGATGCAGTAAGTTCCCTGCAGGGAGAGAAGAGACTGCAGAAGGAAGAGAAAGCAGAAGAAATACAGACATCAACCAGCCTCACAAATGTGTAATGTGGTAGCAATCCCACATCAAATTTGTGGTTCATAAGGACTTCAGTGGAACTAGTACCATTTTCTCATCCGTGGAGGTTAAACTTTCTTTCCATGTTGGTGGCCACCTGAACTGCGTGCCCAAGGTGCTCGAGACCTGTAGCATTGTTGCCACCAGCGCTGAGAGCAGACCCAGGGTATATGAAGGCGTCACGCTGAGTTTTATCATTGCCTCAGACTACTGCTATGATGAGAGAATTAAGCATAAATGTCAGAGAGGTCTTTTATAGCTGGCTGCTTGCAAGCATTTCACGGTGTAAGTAACAGAAGTGGCTGTTAGCAAACGTTGCACTCGCAGTCCTAACAGCAAACTGGAGGGGATTCATCCCCACCCAATACATGAACTGCAGATGCTTAGGAGGGTTCCTAAGACACTGGGGATGCCAAGGGCCCCGAGGGCACGTTGAGGGCCTGCTCCTGTGCTTCTCCTGCAACAGGACAGCCCGGCACGCTGGCTGAAGGAGGGCGGAGAGGTGTGTGCAGGGCGCGAAACCCAGAGCCCCAGTGACACATTTCACAGCTCTAAAGAGAAGAGGGGGATGCATTTAATTCACAGCTCGCCAGTGAACAGTGCCAAACTGCTAATCTTCTAATTATTCCCAGGCTGTTTGGCAAATCGGAATTATACTCTTCCTTTCCTTTGTTCTTTCCTGCCCGCTTAGCAGGACTTTCTAACAACACTAACAATGGATCGTCATCAAGCCTTCAGCTCGGCTTAGCTTCTAATAAAAACAACAAATTTGCTCCCTTGTCCTCCCAAACACAAACTGAATTAATCTTCAGCTGAAAGCAGTGAGAATCAACCGAAAACAATCAAACCCACAATAAAACTAATAGACACCATGCTGCTCAAGGACAGGGGCGGCCGCAATAGCTGCTTCACTGCCCCTGAACTCAGAGGAGCTCGGAGCAGCCCCGCTTCCCACTGAAATCAGTGGAAGCGACACCTCTGCGGATTGCTGCCAGCTTTAAGTAATACAATATATGTTACTGCCAGGGTGGCCCACGGATGCTTGGCCAGGACCAGCATCTTCTGGTGACGACA